AGTCCTGGTTGCCATTGCTAACTTAATCCCATGGCTGTTAGATGAGGCAACTTCCAGCCAGCTTATCACAACCAGGTTAATGTGTGCAGATCTTGGAGGGTGTAAGGGATGTGCAGCAAGAGTCAAAGAGGGTGTGCAAATGTGCAGGAGGGAAGTGCATCAAGATTTAGGGAAGATCCTCAAAGGTACACAGAAATGCAAGGTAGGCTTGGGGAGGATGCGGGATACATAATGGTGTGAGGGTACACAAAGGTGTGAGGGAGGCATGATGAGGGTCCGAGAGGGTGCAAGGGGAAGACTTACACAGTGACTTAACTTCCCTGCCAGCTTCCTCACTGACTTTCTGGGGAAACCAACAGAGAAGGTCTCAAATGGCAATCATGTGGTCATTTGGTGTAGCAAATGATCATAAATGTGTTAGTTGCCAATGTTCAGATAATGATTATGTCATCATCGGGTTGTTGGGACATCCAGAATCCAAGTACTGGTCATAACACCATTCACTCAGCACCATTGCAACTTCAAAGTTGCTGAATGGTTGTAAGTCAACGACTACCTATATCGCCTTAATGATGGCTGAGTAAGCCTATAACAATGCTATAAATCTTTAATGAGGAAGAGTAGCTGCCTGCTTCTTGCTTTTCTGGTGTGGTTGCCAGAAAGCGCTGGCTGAACAGCCACTGTATTCCAGATGGCATTGTTCAGCAGCATGAATTCCTGTGCTTTTAAGGTGCACTGGTGCTCTCACTGCTATGCTGTATTAATTGTTTGGATGAGCAGCATGAAAGAAGTGATGGGTGAGCAACTTCAAGGGGTTGAAAGATAGATCAATGTGTGCCATGTGGTTTGTGTCCCTACTTAGAACCAGATTAAGACAGTTTCCCTTCCCTCCCAAATCAAGGTGGATATAAGTCAAAACCGATTTTGATACCTCAGAAGAGTGTCTCTTTTAACCACATTAACTTTAAGATATGTGGACTTCAGCTCCCAGAATTCATGGCTAGTTGAGGCATTTTAAAAATGCTGCCTCAGATAAAAGATTCCACCAACAGTTCTCCTTGAACAATAATATATTCAGTATTGCAAACTGCTTACTTTTCATAATCTTCTATAAATCACCTTAAAGCCATCAGTATTATTTAGACATTCAACTGGGCTTGTTTTCATATAAATTTGGAAAGTCACTTTAAAATTGTGTTTTTGTTCTGATTTGTGATGGTTTTTTCATGCTGTCTGCCGTGGAAGATGCCAGTCTACCTCTATTTCTCCTCTTCCCTAATTCTGTAGCTGTGAAATTGTTCAGCATCTTGCCTTATTTGCAAATGGAAGAAAAGCTGCTTCCTGTGGCTTAAGTCCACAAATTATTTCCCAAAGCTTTGGTGGAAAAAAGAAAATTATTCTTTGATATAAAAAAGACAGAAAAAACAAAAGGAGAAGGGCAGTAATTGAAGCATATATCTCCATCAAGGTCATCTTTCTTACTCTCTACAGGCTAGCCACTACCATTTTGTCCTTTAGGAAGCAGTCAAAACTATGTCTTCCGCTAGGCATTTGGGAAATGTAACATTTTAATGGAAGAGAGCCACAGGTTTTGAAGAGTTTAATATTTTATGATTTTATGGATGTAGTAAAAGCAATGCAACCCTGTACACATTTTCCTAGGAGCAATGCTAAATTCAATGCAAAATCCTATTAATAATTATCTTTGGCTTCCACTAAGTACCCCTTATGGGTATTATATCTTGTGTGTTCCCTAACTTAGGAAATCAGTTGTAAAGGGGAATTTTTCTTTATATTAGCGCTGTATTTTTCACTTCCACATTCTTGCTTTGCAAAGATTTTGCCAAGACAAGCTCAAATCTTGTGAGAAATGCTATGTTTGAATGCTTTTCTTGTTCTCAAGATAACAGTGCCTTGTATATAAACCAGTAGCACAAGCCAAGAAGACTCCCACACAGTTGCTTCACAAGCTGTAATTCTGTAATCATATATGCAGAGACCACTCTTGCTATGTGTGTGCAAAGCTGTGTGTATGTATGTATGTATGTATGTGTGTGTGTGTGTATATATATATATATATAT